CCCAAAAATAAGCCCAAAATTCCCAATTTTAGCTCCAAAATTCCCAATTTTACCCCCAAATTCCCAAATTTTCCAACCCACTCCCAAATTCCCGAGCCAAAATTCCCAGAAATTCCTGAAAAAATCCCAAGAAAAAAAACCCAAAAAAAGCCCAAAATTCCCAATTTTTAGCCCCAAATTTCCCACAAAATTCCCAATTTTACACCCAAATTCCCAAAATTCCCAAATTTCCCAACCCGCTCCCAAATTCCCGAGCCAAAATTCCCAGAAATTCCGAAAAAATCCCCCCCCAAAAAAAAACCAAAAAAGCCCAAAATTGCCAATTTTAGCCCCAATTCCATCCATGGCTGGGGGCAATCCAGCTGGCAATTCCCAAAATTCCCAAAAATTCCCAAATTTCTCAAGTTCCAGCCCAAAAATTCCCAAAATTCTCCAATTTTTTCCCTTCCACGTCTCAATTTTACTGAAAATTCAGCAAAAAAACCTCACAAAAAATCCCAAAAATTCTCCAAAAAATCCTATATTTTCACCCCAAATCCCCAAAGTTCCCAAATTCCAGCCCAAAAATTCCCAAAATTCCCCAAATTAATTTCCAAATTTTTCTCTTCCGTTGCTGCATTTCAGTCAAAAATCAGCACAGAACTCCCAAAAAAAAACCCCAAAATCGTCAGAATTTCACCCAAATTTTGCCTAAAATCCCTCACATTTCACCCAAAATTCCCAATCCCAGAATCCCAAATTCCAGCCCTAAAATTCCCCAAATTCCCCAATCCCATTCCCAAATTTTCCTCCACCACTTCTCAATTTCTGTCAAAAATTAATGCAAAAACCTCGAAAAAAACCCCAAAATTCTCAAAAAATTCCCAAATTTTCACCCAAATTCCCAAAATTCCCAATCCCCGAATCCCAAATTCCCAAATTCCAGCCCTAAAATTCCCAAAATTCCCTAATTTCATTCCCAAATTTTTCTCTTACTCTGCTGCATTTCAGTCAAAAATTAACGCAAAAACCCCGGAAAAAAGCCCAAAAAACCCCCAAAATTCTCAAAAAAATCCCAAATTTTCACCCAAATTCCCAAAATTCCCAATCCCCGAATCCCAAATTCCCAAATTCCAGCCCTAAAATTCCCAAAATTCCCCAATTCCATTCCCAAATTTTTCTCTTACTCTGCTGCATTTCAGTCAAAAATTAAC